ATACTATAACTGTTATATAAATACTACTAATGTTATTAGCAACAGTTTCAGAATTTAATATTTAGTTTAATACAATTTTTTTTTTAGTTGTGCTCTATGATATCGTTGATATTGAATATGAAACTTGTAAAATCTATGTAACTGTGTATTACTGTTATATAAATACTACTAATACTATAACTTATATAAATACTACTAATGTTATTAGCAACAGTTTCAGAATTTAATATTTAGATTAATACAATTTTTTTTTTAGTTGTGCTGATGATATCGTTGATATTGAATATGAAACATGTAAAATCTATATAACTGTGTATTACTGTTATATAAATACTACTAATGTTATTAGCAACAGTTTCAGAATTTAATATTTAGTTTAATACAATTTTTTTTTTAGATATTGAATATGAAACTTGTAAAATCTATATAACTATATTACTGTTATATAAATATTATAATACTATAACTGTTATATAAATACTAATATATAACTATATTACTGTTGTATAAATACTACTAATACTATAACTGTTAAATAAATACTACTAATGTTATTAGCAACAGTTCCAGAATTTAATATTTAGTATAATACAATTTCAGATTCAATTTAATTTTATAGTATTAACTTAATAACATTAAATTTTTATTGGTTTTCTCTTAAATGGTTTATTTTATAGTGATATTATTTATTTTATAGTTATATAATACTCCTAGCAATATTGTATAGTAAATGTTTCTAATATTTTATAGTAAATATTTCTTTATAATCAAATTTGAGAATTCTCGATTCTTTTCCACTACGATGATGTCATTTTCCTCTTTACTTATCATTAAACTGCAATTTTTATGAACATAGCTTTCATAGGACGTCATTAATTTGCGAGAGTAATTTACAAAAACAATTCTTTTTATAAACACATAGTCAAAGAAATAGTATCTAAATTGACAGTTCCATGATGTCATTTAATAGACATCATTTATATATTTAATAAATCACATTTGTGCACAATAATATTTTACACTAAACACAATGAATGATATACACGAGCATTATCAGAATTATTTATAAAAATTTTAATTTCGATTGAACTCCTCGCTATATTTCATATTTCGTATAATGTGCAATTTAATTTGTAATACAATGTAACATTTTAGAACCTATTGTCAGTGACGATAACGTAAAACTTGTAATTACAATTCAAAGAAGCAGCCGGGTCTCGAAAATGATGGAACAGCCAGTGGCACAGTTACGCGAATTTAATAAAACAAGAGTTTCCTTTTCGTCCCTGTTACCCTCCCCCTCTAAGTAATATCATCTGTTACGAACAATCGTTTGTCTTAAGAGGATACTCGATAAGATTGCATTTGCTCGGCCTTGTTCTTTCGCAATTTCCCATTTCGTCTTTCCCCATGCAGCTTAATTGACCTCTCAGAAATTAAACGAAGTGTTTCGAAAGTGGAATGGATCAAGCAGGGGGCAAGGTCAGCCCTGACGGAACTTATCCGATTCGAGTTACGTATATCTGCGAAACAATTACAAAACTACTTGGTTATTACGAGACAATAATTGTAAGAAGGACAAAACGATCGTTTTAAAAATGAATCCTATTCAGCTGTTTGTCTTCAATTCTCTTATTCAATTTATGACTGTTAAGTATTAATTTACGATCAAGTAAGAGACTTCCAAATGAAAGTGAACTAACAAAAATGTATATATATATATATATATATATATATATATGATATAATCAATTATATAATTGATCGATCAAACAATCAATGTAATGGAGTATAATTTAATATAATGTAATATGAATAGAAACAATATAATCAATATAACCAATAATTAATGTGAAACAATATAATTAATATGATGTAACATAGATCACAATCAATTATACAATATAATTAATGTAATCAACATAGTCAAACA